TATTCCTTTCGTTCTCTCTCTCTCTCTCTCTCTCTCTCTTTCAATCAAGAAGATTATGAAACAAGTAAGATTTTGCCTGAAGGGAAGATTTCTTCATAGTCAAGAATCTCATTCTTTTTTTCAACCTTTCAAGAAAGAAAGGAACGTGCGAAGAAGAAACTTTGGGAATTAATTTCGTAAATAAAAATTTTATATTCACGCAGATCGAATGTTTAAATTGATTTTGCTTGTTTGCTCTTCAAGAAGAATTTAAAGGCTAGGTCCAACGCAAAGTCCAAAATCAAGACATAAGATATCTTATGTCTTACGACATTTTGTTGTTTGGAATGTTTTTTTATTATCATTAAATTGTCATTTACGACATTCGTTGTTTGCTTTAGGATTGTTCTATCTCTAACGAACACGAATAATATATATTTCAGGCTGAAGTCGACAATATGGAGAAAAAGATTTCCGAGGAACGTGATCGGCATAACGCGATGATTAGCAAGATGGACGCGGCGATGCGACTCAACGCCGATCTTAAGAAAGAATATGAAACTCAGTTGTCTCTGTTTCAAAGTCTCCGTGAGAAATACGGCGAAAAAATTACTCTGTTATCCGCGGAGAAGCAAGCCCTCGAAACGGCCGCCTCTGCACCTAAATGAAGACAGTTTTCGCATGTTTTCAACGTCATTAATGGATATCGGAATTGGAATTTTTTTGTATCTGCCCATTAATATATTTTAATAAAATCAATTTTTTTGCTACGCATGGATTTTTCCATGTTTAACGTATGACAGATGCATTCTTGGAAATATTGCATCATGTATGTATATAAGAAAGCAAATAAACATTTCACAATCATCATCTGCAAGCATTATTTTAATTATAACGATAGATATATTAACGGTTAAATTTGACAGTGAATATTAACTTTGAAGAAACCAGCTCTTGAAAGTAATTTTCAAAAATAAGTTTTTAAGATAAACTCTAAAAAAAAATTATTATTAGAATCGTAACTATAATCTTTGATATTATACTTCTTTACCGTAAGATCAAAGTTTAATGAAAACCTCTAAAGAAGAAAATCTATCAATTTAGATTATTTAATCCGTATTCTATGAAAGAAATAAATAACATTTCTATGAAATAAATAATCTGTTATATATTTTGTGTCATCGTCAAGTCAAAAGGGTAAATGGCACGCAGATACGGATGATGCAGAAAAATGATTTAGCAACGAAGTTATATGAAGCGATATTATCAATTAGTAATAACGAAAAAAATATCATCGCCGATATAAGAAGCAACTCAAAGAGCTTTTTCCCCATTATTTGCATCAAAAGTGATCATCAACGAGTAAAGTCGCAAAGTGAGAAGGTGTTCTTTTGAAGAAAACAGATCACTTAATTGTAACCAAAAGTTGTGAATTTTTTTTACAATTTAAAATTATAGTTTAAGAAACAAAAACGACTTTTAAATTGCAAAATTTGTAGAATTTTTTTAATTACAATTATCAATTTTAATATCTTAATATAAATTAATTTTTTTATCTAAGAAAATTAATTATATTCGATAACATGTTTTTTTAATATCACTTGTGGCATCACTTCCGCCATCCGGAACTAAAGGTCAAAGCGTAAGTGTAGCGTAAAAGAAGAATAACAGAAGCGTGAACAAAGTTTTTAGAAAGTGTAAATTGGAATATCGAAACGCGCGCAAAAGAAGTGTTTATTTTTAAAATACTTGTTTTCGATATTTCAATTAATGCTTCCTAAAAGTTTCATTAATGCTTTTGTTACTACTTTCTTCTACACTTATACTCCGATTTTTAATTTCGCCAGAGTGATAATATATTATATAATATATATCATTTTGTGTGTGTTGTGTACTTTATATATATATATATATATAAAATTTAATTTTTATTAATTAATTAATAATTTATTACTAATAAATAAATATTAGTCTTTAACATTAAATTAAAAACTAATTAAAATTTAAAAAATTTAATTTTTTACGTTAAAGTTTTTTTAAATTTTAAAATTAAAAAAGTAATTTTTGTTAACTTTTTAACCTTTTTAAAAACTTACCTAAACGTTAGTAACCTAACCAACCTAACCAACAACCGAACTACCAACTACACACACACACACACACACACACACACACACACACACACACACACACACCAAAAAGCATATCACTAATAAGCAATAAATACTATTTTCAGTGGTTTCAAGGTTGTGCGTTTGGAGGAGTAAGTACTTGATTGATCAGTATAAGTCGATTAAAGCGTATTTAAAACTTGAAAATAAATTAATAAATAAGACATTATTTAGTTTTTTAAATATATAAAGTAAATATTGAATAAATTTCATATTATTATTATAGCGTCTGAGAGGAATATTCGTACCAGACGGACGGACGTTTAACGCCGTAGGAATTCAAGATAACATTATGCCACCGGAAATTCCAGAAATTACACCAAAATACGAAAACGATAAGATCGATAAGAATGCTGAAAACTGAGTTTTAAAGCTTACTCGAACTTCTTGTTTATTATTTTTCTATCCGTGTCATATGTCAATGAAATAAAGTAATAAACTTAATTTAATTTTTTGATGACTTATAAAACAATCATCGCATGGTGACCTCAATTTCTTGAAAGAGAATGTCGAAATATTTTATTCCCACATTAGACTGAAGACTATAAAAATGTAATTAAGAATGTAATTTTTTCATATGAAAAATATACAAATATGTAGAATTATATATAAACTTAATTAATGTGTAAGATAAAAATCATTTGCTATTTAATGGGAAAAAATAAATATCAACTTGAAAGAACAAAAAATTTTTATAATCAATTACCTATCGTTAATAAATTATATGTTAAACGTAGTAAATAACTGATATTTTCTTAAGAAATTTGTAACAAATTTTTCATTTTTTGAATATTAAAATCAATTTCATTTATTATTTTCACTATATTGCCTGAAAATTATATAACAGAAAGAAGTCTTCACGCAAGTTTCCGTGGTGTAGTGGTTATCACATCCGCCTAACACGCGGAAGGTCCCCGGTTCGATCCCGGGCGGAAACATTTTATTTTGTAAACTATTTTTTTTTATTTATACAATACAATTATTGTAATAATTATAATGCAATATAAATTATAAATTTGTCAAAATATAATACTTTAGGATATAACAACACATATATATTTCAACATCAAAGAAATAAAGTAGGAGAAGAAGTAATATTTAAATATTAAAACAATAAAAAGAAAAGAGGAACAAGAGGATGATTTGGTATGGAAAAAAGAAATAAATAAAATAATAAAAAAAATTAAACATTATATTAACACTTAAGAATTACAGATAGAGATTTATGAGAAGTTTGAAACTACGATTCATTTTTTATTTTTATAAATTAAACGTAAAGATAATGTATATTTTCTCATACTACATAACTATTTATGCAAGAGTTACAATAACAGGTGCTTCGTCGTCCGCTTCCTCAAGTAAATTCGAAAAATCCCATTGAAATTTCGCAGTCAATCGGTCCCGCAAACGCTTCGCATACGATTTCAATCGACCGTCCACCTCGGGATTCGATTCGATATTACCAAACAACTTGTAGAGACTGCGATACACGAAATTATTGCTCGCCACAATATCGCAGAGTACTTCTTCTGGCACATACGATAATTCTACTTCCAGTGCCTGCAGAAACTCTATATAGATAGAACGGTACTGTGGAATAGCGTTATCCGCACCACAGATCAATGATACGAATTTTTTCCATTGCTCAAAAGCGTCCAAGCTCTGACCAACTAGGAAGCAGACAAACGTCAGTTGCATCTCTCCGATAATCTCGCCTGGTCTAAAAATTCATGGATTTTTCTTAAACATTCACCGTCTTAAATTTTTAAACAATATCTGTGCTCTTCACAGAATCAATTTTAAACTTACTCTCGCAGTTTTTTCAAGGTTGTGTCCAAGACGTAACTGGAATCAAGAGAATGTCGCGTTATCTCGCTTGGAGTCGCATTGTCAGGATAATGCTTGTCCGGTATTTCTGTGAGCCTAAGTTCTGTGCCAGGTTTCGGTTTCAGATTCGGTAATAATTCTTCCTCCTTGTCCTCTGCCGTGAGCCTACCGGATCTCCTCTGTTTTCTGTCTTCTTTCTCAGATTCTTTGCCACGAGGTCTCGCAGCGTCGCTGCAATGCTCCAGTTCCAAAGCAGATCGCACAAAACTGAAATAAAATGTTTCAATAACACGTTCAGCTACAAATTTAAATAGGTAAGATTCTCTCACCCACATAACGGTGAACATCTTGCTATAAGAGATGCTGTGATGCCATTTGTTAATTTCGCCCATGGTTTCGATATCTCATATGGATATGGTCCTAAGTATCTATCCAACTCTTTTAAATTATCCTTCAAGCTTTGAACTGTCTCCTCAGGTACAGCTATTGTTTGAAGATCTCATGTAGAAAATAAATATGGGATCTCGCACTATTAACAATAATCTTAATCGCTTACATTCTGAACTGATATCTTCCTCCTTGTTGTCCCATCTTTTTACCAAGAATTCACCTTTCTTAAAATCATGGAAGAAACCAATTCTAGGTGCCAATTCACCTAATTCGTCCACTGCACTGTAAAAATAAATATTAGATCATTCAGCAAATTTAATCATACCAAGTAAAACAGCAATTTGTATGTGCAAAACGATATAAGAAAATGAGCAAAGGGAATATAAGTAAAAAATTAAATTTAATTGTACAAAATAATTAGAACGGATGAAATGTTTCGTTGACTTACTTACTTAATCTTCTTCAGCTAATTACAGTAATTCATATTATAAATAATATGCAAAGACAGTAAGTACGAATTAAGAATGAAAGAAATAAATTCAATATCTCAATATAAAGTTCAGAATTCATGCGAAAATCGTCAGCAGATTTTGCAGATTTTACCTGTAATGTATAAAGTGAATACCAGGTGGGATCATCTTGATTCCCTTAAAATTCCTTCCTACATTCCAGGATTTAATATCAATTCCGACGTCGGTGCCCGCTGGTATGTCGAGTAGAACCAACGTGGCACCTTGCGTCAATAAAGCTTGGGCAACATTTTGTTCCATTTCCATTTTGCAATATGTTTGTTGCAAAAGCACGCTTGCACAGTTGGCATAAATTCTCCGATTCAAACCTCGTCGATGTAACAATAGAAATTTAGAACAGGTTATTACAAGGACGTAACCTCATCCCTACGAACGCAAAATCTTGCATTTACAGCGGAATATACGAAATAAATCAATTCATATCGAGGACAAATGTTTAATGCACAACGCGCGCGTTTAGGCGAAACGTCGCAGAACATTGAAGAGCATAGACGTACGATGTTTATTATAAATTATTTAATTTATTATTTGATGAAACAGCGACTTATCGACGAGACTTGTTTTGCAAACGCGTAGCGACATCTGTGATCGTACTTTCTAACTTCCTTGGCGCGACTTTTCTTAGCGCATTTAAATATGTAAATACCGTCTGCATTTTATGAAAAATTCTCTTAACGGCTTTAATCGCTTATTTATTGCTGTGATATTCGATAATCTCTGAATTTAAACAAGCGAAATATTTTTCGATGTTTTTAAAAATTTAGATTTTATCTGCGTTCATTAGCCGTCGTGTAATCATCACAGCTGTGCAAATCAAATTGTGAAATATCGACACAGGTATATCCGGCAAGGGAAAATCACAATAAGGTATCCAAATTCGCGTACCGTTGTCCGAAATCTTCAAACAGGCTGGTTGTGAAAACACTATTCCATTCGGAATACCAAAACTACCTGCAAAATAACAATTTCACGATTAAAAATCTTATTCGAATCGTGATCTCATTAGCAAATTAAATTAATTTTACTTTCGATTTAACTTTTTTGGTTCAACTTTGGTTTTCCATATCTTTTTAATTTTAACAAATTAATTGAATAAAATCAAAAAACCAAAGTCGAAGTTAATCTACTTATTGATAAAAATTAGAAATGGACATTTCGAAAGAATTTTTAAAGAATATTTTGAAAGAATGGAGAAGAATTGCACATTATAGACAGCGCTCCTTTTTTTCCATATATTCTTCATAAGACACGAATTTCATCTTGCTTTTATTTACCATCGGACGAAATTCCTAGAGCTATAATTTCATCGCCAATACTTTCTCTATACCATAACTTTAACAGATCGCAAATAGCTTTGCACTTCTGCGCATTCTCTTTTCGTCGATCCGCTTGATGTTCAATAGTGATCTAGGATATATTTAAGATTCATATATATTTCAATCACCAAAAAAATAAAATATATAACGATATATATACAAAAAAATATAGATAAATAAATTACATTGAGAAAAACATCAAGAACCTTTGAATTATATACCTTATGCCGTAAATAATCCTCATAGAGATTTTTATTATTCTTACAGGAAAAAAACCATTTTAACTCTGCTCGCTCGATTTCTGATGATTTTAAAATCGTCCTTCCCTTCGCTTTTGAAGCATCGCCGTTTCGCCGTTTGTATACGTCATCACATTTTTGAATCATATGGCACACATCTACAAACCGATTGATATCTACAAATGTGCAACAATGTGGTTCTCGCGTATATTTCCATATATTCTCCATAGTGTGCTATATATCATAACGCTCGAGAGTGCACAATCAATTATCGCACTGACCCAGAAATCCCCATACCGGAGGGCAACCAAAATTCCGCTGATTCATGCCAAGAGACTCCGTGAAATCGTGCATTACTTTCAATCCGTAATGAGCGCTAACGGCAACGATACTCATTCGAAGTAATTTATTTGTTACGAGATTCCGCAGGATGGTAGCGCAGAGGCATGTTGGGCCAACAGAGCAGAATATGATCTTCATGTGAAATGGAGCACGCTCGTTAATTTGTTGCGACAACATCCTCATGCGCTCGTAATTCCTCTGATACCAGGTATCGTGTTCCTCGTACCTTCCCCTTCAAATGTTGCCGTTTTCATTTTACGATAATATCAATAAAAAAAAAAAATAAACATTTCCTATTTATATTAAAACGCTTTATTTTTTTTTTTTTTTTAAATGTGAATTTTGTTTCCTCCGTACCTCGACATGTCCTCAAGAAATATTAATATATCGCAGTCGTATAATCCAATTGATAAATCTTCTATGACTGTTACATTTAAATCCTCGATATTTTTTACGTCCTTCATTATTTCCTCAAGCTTCGAAAACTTTTTTGTCTCGTCATATAAACTAAGGACACTCCCACGTGACAAACGTAATTCTTTTATTGCCATTAATTGAGGAATTAGGTCTAGACAAAGCGATCTATCGGCACTTATAATAGTCACACGACGGCATTCATTCTGTGTATCCAAATAGCCAATTTTCTTTTCTATTTCGTGTGCCTGTAACCCATAACGAGGATACAAAAGTTTAAGCCGAAATCATTCATCTTAATTCGTCTTTCAATTCGCTTACGCGCAATAGATCTGTTTTTAAGTTTTCCAGTTCCTCTTTCGTAAGATCAAAACGTATATTGTAATATTCAAGCAAAAGTTCACGAAACTTGTCAATATCGCCCACATAAGTGACCTTGGTACCACTTATTCCATATTGCTTCCATATCAAAGGAGGTTCCGTATGCTTCCAGCCATGCAATTCGCAAATTGCTCGAACCCAAGCCTAAAAAGGACTGGAAAATTTAAAGAGGATATATAGTAGAAAAAAATTAAAGAAATGTTTTCGTATGTTATATACCTCCCATTCTGTAACATCTTTACAAATTTTTTTAAAA